GGTCGTAGCAGTGGTAGTGGTAGTGGTCAGTAGTAGTAGTAGTAGCAGCAGTAGTAGTAGTAGTAGTAGTAGTCGTAGTAGTCGTAGTCGTAGTCGTAGTCGTAGTCGTAGTAGTGTTAACCGTAGTTGTAGTTGTCGTAGTCGTGGTCGTGGTCGTGGTCGTAGTCGCAGTAGTAGTGGTAGTAATGGTATGAAAAAATGCCATCCGCGAGCGGGCGGGGCCCTCGGCATGTGAGCAGCAAGGCAGGCAACCAACCAGCCAACCAGACAGCGAGCCAACCAAGCAGCCAACCAGCCAAAGAACCAGCCAACCAAGCAGCCAACCAGGCCACCAACCAACTGCCAACCAGCCACGAGGGGGCGGAGCGTGCCGAGAGGCATCTCTGAATAAAGCGGTGGCGGCACGCAAAAATGCAATCCACGGCGGCGAGCGGTTGCCCCCGCGGGCAGCTGAGGAATTCCGAAGAACCCGAAGGAATCCTGAGGAATCCCGAAGAATCCGAAGGGAATCCTGAGGAATTCCGAAGAAACCGAAGGAATCCTGAGGAACTCCGAAGATCCCATCCATGGTTGTAATTGGTGTAGTTTCTGGTTGGAATTGGTTTCATTTCTGGTTGCAATTCGCTCCGAACGGTTGGAATTGGGACCAGTCGGTTGTAATTCGTTCCATTTCGGGTCGCAGCCACGAGGGTCGTGTTAATTGCCTCCTGGGGGGTCGTGTGTTAGCTGCCCCCTGCAGGGCGCGAGAAACAGGCGGTCGCTGCCCAGGGGGTCGTGTTCAGTTGCTTCCTGCGGCCCCATGAAGCCTGTCAGAAGGCCGGGGGGTCCCGAGCCGTCAGAAAAGGCCCGCCCCTCCTCCTCCTCCTCCTCCTCCTCCTCCTCCTCCTCCTCCTCCCCCTCCTCCTCCCCCTCATCTTCCTCCTGTTCCTCCTCTCCCCCCTCCTCCTCCTCTCCCCCCTCGCCCTCCTCCTCTTCCCCCATTCCCGTCCTCCTCTTTCCCCTCCTCCCCCCCCTCCTTCTCCTCCTCCCCTTCCTCCTCCCCTTCTTCCTCCCCCTCCTCCTGACAGGACTCCTCCTCCCCCTGACAGGACTCCTCCTCCTCCTCCTCCTCCTCCGCCTCCTCCTCCCCTTCCTCCTCCCCTTCTTCCTCCCCCTCCTCCTCCTCCTCCTCTTCCTCCTCCTCCTTCTCCCTGCGCCCGTCCTCCTTGGCGGGGCACGGCCGGGGCTCGGTGCCGGCGTGCGGATGGCGCCGTCCCGCGGCAGGCAGAGGCGGGCCGCCCCGAAGCAGGCGAGCTCGGGCGCCGGCTCGGGCGCCCGCCCGCCCGCGGGCAGGGGCGGGCGGGCGCCGCCCCCCGCGGCCGCGGCCAAGCGGGCCGCGCGGTTGTCCGAGGCCGAGCTGCGGCGTTTCCGGGACGTCGCTTTCGGCGGCTGCGACTGACTCGCGGCTGGCGCGCGCGCGCGCGCCGTCGTCAGTCAAGCAGTGGCGAAGCGCCCTGGCTCGCCTATAGTCGGCGGCGAGCGAGGGGGGGAATTGAGAAGGAGGAGGCCCTCTCAGAAGGCGGCGGGACTTCTCAGAAGCCCTCGCGCCTTCTGAGAAGTTTTTCTGTCTTCGGGGAAGGCTTAGAAAACTTCTCAGAAGTCCGGGGGACTTCCGAGCCTTCTGAGAAGGTACGCCCCTTCTCACTTCCCCCCCTGGCTCGCCGCCTATATAGGCCTGTCAAAGAATGTTCTGGGGACCTTTTGTGGTTTCAGAGGGATGTTCTGAGAGCATGTCTGGTTGTGATTGTCTTGTTTTAACACGTCGGTGTCATGTTCTAAGCACGCTGCTTTTGTTATCAGAACACTTTCGGGTTCTAAGAACAGTTCGTGGCAGGCCTACAGGGATGCTGGGACGGTCGGTCCCTGCTCAAGTCCGAGGGGGAAGAGGTGCCGACACCGCTCTTCCATTTGTCACCCGCGTCGCCGCGGCGGGATTCGCCTCGGCGTCCCCGTCAGGGTGCACCTGGAGAGAGAGAGGTCCGTGGAGTCGGCGGAGTGAGCATCTGCCTGCCTCCCCCAGCTCGGGCCCTGCTCGGCCACGGGGGGTGCCAGCTCGGGGAGGTGCCCTCGGGCAGGCCCAGGAGGAAAAGATGTGCGCCCCCCGAGGGAAGTCTTGAGTCGGGCGTGTCCCCCCTACAGGGGGAATATTCGAAAACAGTCAAAAAATTGTCAGGGGACAGTTTTTCTACCATTTTTGATCATGTTGGTGTATGTGTAGACTATTTGCAATTTTTCGCCCAAAATCCCCCTGTAGGGGGACATGCCCAACCTAAGAGCAGTCTCAGAGCGTTCACAGGCGATCTGTAACCCGGGGGATCCTGAGGGGCCTCGGGTCTGCCGTGTTCCAGATTTCGTGCAGTCCGATGCTGCGTTCCTCCCATCTTCGTCTGAGTCTGAGCCGCCCGAAACGGAACGTTGTTATGCTCTGGCATAGGTGAAGTGATAGGGCGGATGCCATTCGCTTCCTGTTCTCTCCCCCCTTCTCCGCCCGATCATCCTCGAATCTTTCTTCATCCCCCTCCTCCTGTCCATGCTGATGGTGAACCTGTCGCCGCTGGTAGTGCGGCTGCTCCCGTTGGCTGCTCATGGTCCTGGTCGTCGTCCCCTCGCACGTCCTCAGTCACATCTGGCCCCTCAATTATTCCCCCCGCTAGGTGGTCGAAGTTTCTGGCCATCCACCTCGTCGTTGTCGCTGTCGGTGTCGCTGTCGCTGTTGTTTGTGCCTGGCCATGCACTGTATCACAGCAGTACCATTGGCAATTGCAACCGTTTCCACACTTTGCCAATGTACCTTTGTTGAGCACGTCTTCTGTCTCTTTCTCCTTCTTGTCAGCCTCTTGTCTTTCTTTGTCCTATTCGCCCGCATTCTGATTGGTGTTCCTACAGTCTGCGCTTCGTTTTCCTGATCCTTGACCATGTCCTTCGCTTCCGAGCTGCGCCCAGCCGTGGCGACGACTGCCGGACCTCCAGGAAGCCAAGGGATTCGTGGCCGCTGAAAAGTCTAGAGTCTAGTGTAAAGCGCCTATGTGGCCGAAAGTCGGGCTGGAGCTTGGCCAAGCTATAGGACCATGTGTTCCCCGAGTCGGTCTGGAAAGCCTTCTGGGAACACGTGGGGGGAGAAAGAGGAAGTGGAGGAGAGGGAGGAACAAGAAAGATGAGGAGGCCTCTTGGGAGCCTCTTGGGGCACTGTCGGGGCCTCCTGGGAGCTTCGGGGCCTCCTTGGGTTTCTTCGGGCCTCTTCGGCGCCTTTAGGTGCTTCTGGAAGGCCTCTCTGGCCGTCTTAGGGCGTTCCTGGCTCGTCAGACGCCGTCGGAAGACGTCTTGGGGGCCTTTCTGAACCGACTTGGGGCCGTCTTGGGGCGCTTTAGGGTCGTCTTGGGGGCCATCTTGGGCGTCTTAGATGCCTGATGGGCCGTATTGGGGCCCTCATGGGGCCGTCTTGGGGGCCTCTTTGGTCGTCATGAGGCCATCTTTGAGGCCTCTTGGGCGATCTTTGGGCGATCTTGCGGGCCTCTTGGGCCGTCGGAAGGCCAAAAAGGAGCAACTGCCAAAATCCTTCAGAAACCCAAGGAAAATGGAGCCCAAGCCCAATGATTTGGGCCTCTTCGAGCCCTCCTGGAGGCCCTGTTGGAGGCCTCTTGGGGGCCTCTTGGGCCGTCTTGGGCCGTCTTGGAGGCTTCTTGGGCGGACTTGGAGGCATCTTGAACCCTCTCGGGCTGTCTTGAAAGCCGTCTTGGACCATCTTGGGCGGACTTCGGGGCCATATTGGCCGTTTCGGCGGCCATCCTGGGCCATATGGGACCCGTCTGGACGAGGAACAACCTTTGAAACCGGGCCTTGTGCAGCCTTCCAGGGTGCCGGCGGGCTGGGCCGGAGCCCCAGGGGAGAGTTCTCTTGGAAAAAGAACCAAAACCGAAAGCGAAAGGATCCAGCACTCGAGGCACCCCTGTGATGAATCAACAGGGGGCGGCAGATCAAGTAGCCTTCGGCCCATCTCGCCACCGTGCCTGGGTAGTGGGCCAGAGTCCTCTTGGGGGCGGGGGCCTCGTGGAAGCCTCTGGGGGGGCTCTTGGGCGCTTCTGGGATCCGTGGGGCTTCCTCGGCTGCCTCGAGGCCATCCTGGGGAGGCAGGGGCCAGGCAGTTCCTGTCACCCCCTCCCCTGGGGCGGAGCAGAAAGCACTCTGAAAACCGCACTTCTTCTTGTAGCTACTCCCGTAGACCGCGGGCAAAAAGGCCACGCGGGGCGCCCCCCGGGGCGCCTGGGCACCGCCGGGAACTCCAAGGGCCCTGGGCCCCTGACAGGACTCCTCCTCCTCCTCCTCCTCCTCCTCCTCCTCCTCCTCCTCCTCCTCCTCCTCCTCCTCCTCCTCCCCCTCCTCCTCCCCCTCCTCCTCCTCCTCCTCCGCCAGGAACTCCAAGGGCCCGGGGCCCCTGAGAGGATCTGCCGTGCTCCAGACTGGGGGGGATTCGAAGGGTTGGCTGGGGATTGCGTCACGTCTTCGCCGATGCATCGACGATGCACCGCCGGTGCATCGCCGGTGCATCGCCGATACATCGCCGATGTATCGGCGATGTATCGGCGATGCGGCGCGGTCCTCCGACCCCATCTACTCCGACCCCATCTAGGGGCCGAAGTGGAACGGACAGCCCCCCACCAGGAGATCGGCTTCGGGTTCGGGTTCGTGTCGTGCGTGCGGGCGAGGCGACGCTGCGTGGGCGGGAGAGAGGAACGTCTCCGCTGCGGTGCGGGCGGATTCAGGCAAAAGACCGCCTTTCTGGTGGGCCAGCGTGGCTAGGGGTCTCCTGGTGTCCCACTGTGGTGTCCCGTCGGTGTCCCGTCAGTGTCCGCGGGCGGTGGCTGGGGGGGTCCCGTCGTGGTGTGCCGTCGGTGTCCCGTCGGTGTTCCGTAGTGTGCTGGGTAGTGAGATAGATAGATAGTGAGGCCGACAGTGAGATGAGATCGTTAGTGAGATCGTTAGTCATGATCGATAGTGATATCGATACTGAGAGGGCTAATACGATCCTCTGTGAGGTCGGCTTTGAGATCGATAGTGGGAGCGATAGTGAGATCGGTACCGAGATCGACAGTGAGATTGATTGCGAGCTCGATCGAGTGAGAGCGAGTGTCCTCGATGGTGAGATCGATAGTGGGATCGATAGCAAGATCGATGGGGATATCGATAGTGGCATCGATTGCGATAGTGAGATCAAGAGTGAGATCGACAGAGAGCTCGGTCGTGAGGTCGGTGGTGAGATCGACTGTAAGATCGACATCGAGATTGATAGTCAGATCGGTAATGATATCGATCGTGAGATCTATGGTGAGCTCGACAGTGGGATCGATAGTAAGATTATGAGTTTAATTGCTAGTGACATCCATAGTAACACCGGTTCGGAAAGACCGATTGGGATATCGATCGTTCGAGTGTTAGTGACACCGATTGTGCGATCGATTGAGTTTGCTGTTGGTTCCCCCCCCGAACCTCCATATCACCCGAAGGGTGGTCATCTATGTCGGGCGAGCACTGCGGAAGGGAGGTGTATCACTTCGTGCGTGGCCTGGGCGAAGTCTCTCCGTCCAGCCTGTGTCTGTCCATCCCCGATCCCGTTCCCCTCTCCTTCCTCGAGTTCGCCGTGTATTGCATCGGTGCCCCTCCTGCCCTTCCCCTCTCAAGCACCCTCGCCCTCTCACGTCCCCCTTCACCTACCCTCCCTCTCTTGCCCGCCCTCCACTCGCCCTGCCCCTCCCCCCCGGCCGGTTCGCCTGCGTCTTGCAGCGTGGTGCGTTTCTGTTGGGGCCCCGCCGGTGCTGTCCGAGTGCCGTGGGCCGTCGGCGCAGGCGTGCACGCTGGGTTCGTGGGAAGTGCAGCAGCGAGGAGGATGTGGAGCATGGAGGAGGAAGCGGACGGGCTGCGTGAATTCACACCCCCTGTTGGGATTTCATGTGCTATTCAGCCGCCCAGGTGCTTGGAGCGCGGAAGGGGTGGTACTCGCAGATCGGTGCAGTACTTGCAAGAGAATGTCGTCGGACATTCATCGGTTGCGGCGCACATTTTCAGGTTGTAGCCCAGCAGCTCAGTGTGAAAACCTTGACAGGACCATGGCGTAGACCCAAGAACCCGATATGTTCGATATGTTGATGGTGCGTAAGATTGTGCGAGTTTCAAGGTCACACGCAGAAAGGACAGCGAGGTGTACGCGGACCCAGAAACGTCCAGAGTCTTGTCACTTTGCCAGCCTGGCAAGGCCCATGCATACTACGTCCGTCTAGAAGACGATGATGCGTCATTAGGCAGGACTGGCAGGACATGCAGCCATTGAAAGCGACCAATATCGACGACGAGGGCGTACTATTGAGTATTCCATTGCCCCTTTCGTGCACGGTAGGGCGACCGTCCCTTTCGTGCTTTCGTCTATGGACACCGTGTCTATCTGTTTTTGCAATCCCGTTTCGTGCCGCTTTCTGGTAAGTCAACATACGCGCAATTTACAAAAATCGGTGCCCGTGTCAGTCCTCAGACACATTGACAGTGACCACAGCACGTGTCGTTGGTGTTTGCCCCAACGTTTTACGGTAGGTTTATGCGGCGTTGGCGCGCAAGCGACGCCGGCGAAGGCGTTCAAGCTTGAATTCTGCGACGCGGAAGCGCCGCAATGGACACGGCAACGCCACTGGACCCGATTGAAGTCAGCTTTGGACGATCGGGGCCGCGATCCATTCAGGGTTGAACGTTCGACGCGGTGTCAAAAACCTTTGCGCGCGCCGACGCCGCACGAACTCACCGTATGTAGATGGGTCTTCGTTTTTTAACTGGAGTTTCGGGCGTCTCCTCCTCCTGCCTCTCTCCCTCGCCTTGCCTCTGCTCTCGGTCCGCACGCCCAGTTCGGCTCCGCTTACGGCCTCGCACGGCGCCGCCGCGTTGCGCCACCCTGCGCAGTCCCGCACACCCCTCGCGCGGACCGTGCCCCCATAGGAAGCTCCACCAACGGCCGCACTGGGCGCCGTCGCGCTCTATGTCGCCGCGCCCATCTCGGCACGCCGCTCATGCGGATCGTGCTCTCACGGAGAGCTCCTCCTGCGGTCCCAGAGGGCGCCGACGCGGGGCGTCGCCGCGCCCATTTCGGCGCACCCCTCGCGCGGACCGTGCCCCCAGAGGGAGTTTCACCTGCAGTCTCTCTGGGCGCCGGCGGACGGCGTCAGCACGTCCAGCTCGTCTGGCCGCTCACGCGGACCGTGCGTCCATGGGGAGCTCCTCCCCAGCGCGATCCTTCCCACAATGAGTTCAGCTCTCATCTGATCGTTGGCTCCGTACCCTCATCTGCATGGTCTCGCGACGCGCCGTACATGGAAAGAGGGTGCGCCTGGCGCTACATGCTGCTTAGGGTTGGGCACTTCGCCATGCTAATTTTCACGATCCAGTGTGGGCCATTCGCTAGCTTTCTCTGTTGGCGCCCCACCT